AATTCAATCAAAATTGTTATCTTTCACTGGCAAGGGTGAATATGTATACATGCCAATTTAGGAGAACAGATTGGTTCTTTATATATTCCTCTGGCACTACAGCTAAGTGCTAAAACATGGTTTCCTGGGGACAATTTTAAAATCCATATTCTATCAAAAGCACTGAAGTGCAAACATTAAGATATACCGGTAAGCTCATTCACATAATTTGGAACAAAGGTTTCGAGTCACAATACCGGTAGCTAGTTGTGAGTTAGTCTTCCAATGGTGAAAGTTTATAGAGATAATAAAATGGACTAATGCGTTCAAAATGTTAAGACTCCTCAAAATTAACCACAAGCTTGCGAGAGACTTTTCTGACATTTAAAATTACTTAAAGCTAGCCTAAGAGAACCCATTTCGAATGGCGCTATAGAGAAGATATCATGAAGAGTAAATAATTCATTGCTACAGCTTCTGAAGAGAAACATTGGTTTAAAAAATGTTCAATTAAAGGTAACATGTCCCACTTGCAGGCCAAACAAATGAAAAGGTTAAATTCCAACAGCATTTGAAAGATAATACTAATTTAGAACTTCCCTAAAAAAAGGGGGGCTTGAAAATGTCTTTAAGTGGGAAAATAACGACTGTTAGTTGTCAAATCGACTTAAGTACTACCAAGTCAGTAAGTAATTTTCTGATTTTCAGACCATTGTACCGAATGGTTGTACGTTTTGTGCTGCACAAAGATTCAATCAGTTTGATTTTGGCCATTACAAAGGGTTTCCTTGCATAATTTGAATATTAGGACACTGCTAACGCTTAAATTTCACAGATAGACATACAGTACATCACATATAATTCCTGCAAAGAATTCGATGTTGGCTGCAAAAGGGACATAGTACCGTATCTTTAAACAAAGATTCATAAAAGTCAATTGCAGTGTATGAGAATATAATAACCTGTTCACACAAATCTAGATAAATTGGCAAAGCACATTCACACGTACAGCATGGAGTACTGAACAAGGTGAGCGCCGGAGTGGTGACTGGGTTCTCCCTCCCAGGGTAGCCTCTTAGAGCTGAGTCATGTTTGTATGATGCTTCCCTCAATCCACGAGGACTCATCGATCACTCATTCTTCGTCTCACCTTCCATGCGGTGTACACATGGAAAGGAAGAGGTGTAAGAACAGCATGTTCAACAGGTAGTAGGAGTAGTAGGGGCTGGTAAATCATGTAAGCTAGATGTATAAGAACACAGCTGACCTGTGATTCTGTGAGAAGTTCAAATTAACCATGATTTGAGATGCTCTTTGATCGATATGAGCTTGAGAGGGAATGTGCCTAGCTTACCAAGAGTGCATATGTTTAATGCACTGTGTGGCATAGTCTAGCTTCAAGGCAAACAATCTAGTTTTTCTTTATATGCTCCCGTTCAGCACATTCAATGCCTCCTCTCCGATAGCCTTCCGTCAAAGACTGACAGAAGGCCAGAGTTAAACCGGACAAGACCTTTTACATGCACCTTATATATAGTACACAGTATGCACGCTGCACCTGTACTCAGCGACCCACACACACTGAGTCACTAATCTGCAAGAATCTAAAAACCTGAAGAGGGCAGATGTAACCCAAAGAAGATGAAGAAGAAGAAGAAAAATAACGATGATTAGTTTTTCTCTATCAAAATCAACAAAAATCTTGCATTCACTTAACTCTGTTAATCAGTGAAATCTTTGATCTACAGATGAATATTTGGCCCTTTCTTACATATCTTTGAAATTTGTCCTGTATTACACTTTTGATTTTAAAAAAAAAGAATCGTTGTAGAACTGTATAATAACAATATTTTCTCCAGCTGTGAGAGTGTTCTTCTTTCTCATCATCAAATTCTGGACATCAATCATCCAAAAAAGATACAAAAGTATTTACTATAATTGCCTTAATATATCAGGGTCTAGAAGAGGAGGCTAGCACCCAGGTTGCCTTTCAAGTAAGCAGCGATGTCGATCACTACCTGAAAGACTTCATCTGGTGGATCTACAGAAATTCATGTCATCAATGTGGAGCTCCATAATCACCAGAGATAACAAAATTTATTGTATTCTAGGATTTACTTTTTGTTTTAAATACTAGAAGAAAAGAAATAATTCAGCTCCACAGATTAGTAGGGGCATAGCTTACCCTTGATTCCTCCTCCATCCCTCCAAACCCAACTCCAAGAATGACTGCCCGTTCCCTCTTGTTTGAGATGACATTTATATTTTCTTCTTCTTTTTTTCTTTGCAGAGAATTATGTAGTAAAAAAAAAGTAATTAAGGAGACACAAGTTTTATTGTCAGTTGTTTTTCTTCAGAATCCCTGTTTCCATTGTCTACACCATCATTCTTATTGGACAATACTTGTTTTTGTCTTTGTGCTGGGGAAGATTTTTATTTTTAAACCACTTACTGACTCATCCATTTTTATCTTGCAAATCTACTTCAATCAAAACAATTAGTACTCAAAACCCCCTTCTTCCAAGAAACAACAAACAACTTATGATGAAATTACAACCCAAAATAGCACTGAATCGACAAACCCTCCATCCCCTATTGTCAATATGTATACTGCTTGTCATACATGCAACAAACAGAGTAAAAGAACAGATCTATAAGTCTAACCACAATTGAATAAATAGGTTCCTAAGCAGACAGGAGTTTGCAGCAAACAACTTTCTTTTTCAAAGTGTTTAAGAAAAAACAAAAAGAGTAAAAGAACAGATCTATAAGTCTGACCACGATTAAATAAATAGGGTTCTAAGCAGACAGGAGTTTGCAGCAAACAACTTTCTTTTTCAAAGAGTTTAAGAAAAACCGGATGAAAATCATGTCAGACAAGTGTAAACAGGGATGAGCAACTGCTAAAGAACAATATAGTCTTAACCTTTTGGAAAACGGAGCAAAGAGATGGGATGCCCATCTGACAAGGAAGTAAGCACAGGTGTTATTTGGATTTACTTCAGACCAAAATAGCATTACAATTGTTTAGTGTATAGATCTGCTTGCCGCATACCATTAAAGTGACATCTTCCCCAGCGCTAAACTGACAAAGAATAAAGAGATACTTAAGTTGCCACTATGCGAAGTCAGTAACCTGCTTAAAATGCCAGGATATCACAGCATTTAGTTTCTTACCAGGGTTATTTCCAAAGTATTTTGAATGGTGGTCGTTGGACCAAATTTACAGAAGATTTTTCACAACCAAAAATAAAACAATACAAAACAGAAAAGTCCTCAATATTTTTTATTTGCACATAGATTGTCAAAAAATTGAGATTCGGTGACAGAAGTCATTTTTAACCTTTTGAAAGGGGTGCTATCTAGCATTGTAAATCCCTGTCAATTTTTTAATAATTAAATTTTCATTAAGCAGCAACTTTCTGCAAAAGCAGAATAGGCCTAGATCTAGACCCTATCTGTAAGATTGGACATTTCGATCCAAGAAAAGTCAACAATTAATTTCAATTTCATTTTTCTGTGTAAAGACTGCCCATGACCAGTTCAAAATTTATAACAAAAACTAATCAAAAGTCTAAAGATATTTAACTTTATTAGGTCATTGATGGCTAAAATGTCTGCAGAAACTAGATATTGAAATGAAATTTTAAATTTTGAACCGTCATAAATTCTTCGCCGACAACCCAGTGTAAAAGTGTGCATTAAATTTAACACACATTTCAATGCGATGTCGGTGGACTTGTACGGTTAAGTGAAAGGAAGGCTAGCCCGAGCTTACCGGGGTTTTTTATTAGACCCTAGAGAGATCTAGACTATAGGCCTAGATCTATATTTTGTTTAAATTAATTTAACATTTCTTTCTTTTATTGCTTGTCTTTTCATTTCTTTTTCTATGCCTTGGTCTTGAGGGAGTTGTTTGACATTTGTTTTTCCTTGGAGTGGTTATCTTGCTGTCTAAAAATTAACTTGCTATTTATTTTTCATCTCGGACCTATAAAGTTAGACTAGACCTAATAAATAAGTCTAGATTTTTATAGCCAGGTCCAACTCCAAGTTTAGTCTTTGACCCAGTCTCAATGAGTCTTACTTCTGCCTGGTACCATTGGCTTTTCTTTGCTTTCCAAAGACTTTGGTGGATCTTGATTTTCTCATGTGGTAGGGGATACTAATGAATACTAGTATATCAATTGTTTAACTGTTTTTATAGGATTTCCATGACTGAAAATAAACCTGATCGACACAAGACCATTTTATCGCTCGCTCCACAACGTAGACCTATGCCGAACTGCATAATGTACATGTGACACTTAGTGTCCCGACCCGAGTAATTCACACGTACGGTTTGGACTTGGGAGCTGACAACAGCCTCGGTTAACGTACGGTTCATGTTTATCATCTAACGAGGGAATATGAAACACACAGACACTAGCAACCACACAGTAAACATTCCCTCTTGACATTATAACTTGATTTTATCATAATAAACTTGCTCAAAAGTCTCACCTTTACCACCTGATTGATCTCGTTCACTTCCACAACAATACCATATAAGGCAAGGAGGTTTGTGACGTAGCGAAATCAAGGTTAATACGTTTTGTTATGGAAATTAAGAACCTCTTCCGGCGAGGTTGGTTCTGTTACCCGGAAAAAGATTGTGACGTGTAATTGGAAGCGTCCATATGACTTAGGTAGAAATTTAACAATGTTATTAAACAGTGATATACTTGGAGTATTATTTGCATTATATTAGGACAGATGTATACCTTTTATTTAATTTATAATTGTAAATTAGTAATTATTAAGTTCCTAGAACTTTAAAGTCCATTTTAATTTGTTAAAGTCTGATACACTACCCCTATTACAAAAGTGGACTCGTCTCAGCAGGTTACCGTTTACTTCCAGAGCACTATATACATGTGCTTTGATTGACATTCTAGGTTGACCAATCAGATTGCAATATGACATTGCCAAACACACGTCTTACATCATCGCCGACCAATCGTTATTCGAGAAACTGATGTCACTGCTCTTGCGTCTATTTTGGGAATCCTTAGTCAGTGTATATATAGTGAGTCAGCGTTGGTATCGGAAATTCATACTACGATCATTTCAGTCTGCGAAGAGACGGAGAATTCTCCCAAACCATTACTTAGCCAACTACAGGAACCCCCACTTTGCCATATCACATCGAGAGCTGTGACTCAGACTTGTAGCTCATAGCAAAGAGAAACCTCATAACTGTTTGTATGTCAGTCGAAAACGGTCGCAAAAAGATGGAGACTCAGTTCTACGAAGATTCACACAACCCGTGGCTGAGCAAGAAGAAATGCATGACTCTGGATCTGGACGTCGGAATGGGCAAGCGCAAACTTACGGCTGCTCTGCTGTCGACCCCAGACGTTCAGATGCTCAAACTCGCCTCTCCTGAACTCGAAAAGATGATTATTTCTCAGCAAGGCAATATCTGTACTACACCAACGCCTGGTCAGTTTATCTCCCCGAAAAACGTTACCGAAGAGCAGGCTGCCTTCGCCCAGGGTTTCGTCGAGGCACTGCAGAGTCTTCATCAACGGAATGATTCTGGCGACTCGGATTCCGTGGTGAGCGACGATGAATCGTCGCTTGACCAGCTGGACCTTGGCCCAACAACGACCTACCAGCAGCAGATCCTCAACACTCAAACTACGATGTCAAGTATGACCACGCCTGCGACGTCAATGTACAACCCTGCAATGCCTACAACAACTACGCTGCCTGGATCAACCGTTGGTCTATCATCTCGCAATTCTATGCCCATTGACTCTATGGCAATCACACGTGGATGGGCCAATTCTGACCATATCAAGCAGGAACCCTCGTGCGAAGAGCCCCAGACTGTTCCAGTGTACCACGCTTCAATTACCGCACCCATGTCCCCCATCGACATGGAAAACCAGGAGCGCATCAAGGCTGAGAGGAAAAGGCTCAGGAATCGAATCGCCGCCAGCAAGTGCCGCAAGCGCAAGCTTGAGCGTATTGCCAGGTTAGAGGATAAAGTGAATGACCTGAAAACACAAAACTCTGACTTGTCAACGACGGCCACCAAGCTTCGAGAGCAAGTTTGTGCACTGAAACAGAGTGTGATGGAACATGTGAAGAGCGGATGTCAAGTTATGCTGGCACAACAACTGGCATTTTAAACTGGAATAACTGCACATTTGACTTTTTGAACATTGACATTTATTGCTGAAAAAACGGTCACTTCGGACTATTGACTTGAGTCGTGTGTAACAAAGGCCCGTAACACACACATTATTGTTGACTCCGTAGACGCATTCATATGTTCTGTTTTGTTTTAATTTAAACATGGCCCAGAAAATGTATATACTGTGCTGGTTTGCAGTTCCCAATATTCTAGCGCTGATACAAAATTACAATTCGATCATGATAAGATTGTATGCATGTTTGACAGAAATTTGGGGCAGGATCCCCAGTAGTATTCCTATTTCTGATTTCCAATATCTCATTTAGTCCATGATGTACAGGCAATGTTTGGCATTGATATAAATCTGCATTTTTCAATCTGTATGTAGTTATAATGCAGAAGAAATTGAGAATTGTAAAATTGTTTATTCCGCCCAATAAGACTACCGATAAAAAGCCCATCAAAATAAAATGACGATTTGTCTACTAACTTGCCCAGTAATTTTGAGTCAGTACTTCGGTATTAATATTTAGTGTATAAACTTTTAATGCCCAAATTATAATTGTTTTCGTCCATGCTTAGTCCATTGAAGTCCAGTTTATAAGATGGTCATGCTATTCAGATGAAAGGGTGAAAAGAGAATGCATTGTGAAATAGAAAATGTTTGAAGGAAAGTTCAAGGAATTTATAAATTTGTAAATGAAAATGAAAATGGTTTACGATGTGAATATTATTATGACAAATGTCTTTCAATGAAGCATACTGGTTTTGAGAATCTTTTCTAAACAAAGGTATGGTCTTATGTTACAAAATTCTTGTTTTTTCAAATTTTATTTTATGCTACATGTGCATTGTGTATGTCATGTTTGACGAAAAGCATTGTGTGCAAGGAAAAAAGCCTTTTCTTTTTTTTAGTTTGACTTATGAATCATAACCACTGACCATCAGAAGCAGCTGCAAATTTACAGCTCATCTGTGCTATGAATTACAGTGTATTTTGCAACCATTTATTTTTTTTACAGCTCTACTCTGTAGGAAAGCTAGCACATTTCTGCACCCAGTGTTAAACTCAAAGAGTAAAAGTTTGCGATCACACCAACTGTGATTGGTGTTTGCTCTTTTTAAAATTTGTTTTATATTGTGTACAAATGCCCATTCTTGCAATACAACTTCAGACGGAACAATTTTGCCTGACGAGTCTGTGACATAGGCATGCAGAAAGATTGTAATTCATTTAATTATAAGCAATCCGTGTATGAAGGCGAAATAACAAACGCTGCACTGAAGTTTATTATCAACTTGTACATGCATTTCTTTTAACCAATATTCACATGCTAGTGTTTTTCAATTCTGAAACATTTTCTAAATGTCATGGTTGTCATTTTTCTCCAATTATTGTACAGAATTTACCATAAAAAACAACAGGTTATTTCTATAACATTGAAACCGGTAAATGAACCAATAAGATATACTTGCAATAATATATTTTATGTGAATATTGGGTTAATTTGAAAGCTGGATATTGTCTTTGGAATTCTTCATTTGTATGAAACCTTCATCACTGAAGTAGATCTTTTCTTCCAATCATTTTATATGTTTTTATAAAGATGCATCAAGTAATACATGTACACTAGTGCATACTTTACCTATTTGCCATTTGTCATTTCTTTTTCATGAAGTTTGTCATGCCATGTATTGTAAAAAACAAATTATTGAAGAAAAAAAAAAACTACAGCTCAATTTGCTGGATAATAAAAACAATGAAAATTACAACGTTCTTCTTCCAATGTGATTTGTTGTCCTGAATGCGAGGTTTGTGTGCCTGAGTGATGGTTTTGAATATATTTTCAGTTGAGAGCTTGAGGAGCATAAAATCATAACTACAACAATAACACATATCCTACTGATAGACAATAGATGACATGCAATGTGTGTGACTGTGAGGACAGAATACATGTATGTAATTAAGATGAAGGGTGAGACATGATTTTTTTTTTCCCTGTATCATGACATACTTTGCGAATATGTTGCAAGCTGCTGATTGATGCGAATACAGATTTTGCATGTAGGAGCTTCAAACATATAGCAAAACTTTAATGATGATGATGATTATGATGAACCCCCAATTTCTATGGGCTTACAGACCCAGTGCTTGGTTCATAACATCTAGTATCTAAAGGCCTCTTTCTTTTATTATTGCTTGATTGTGGATGTTAGTATATTCAATTTTCCATGAAAATTCACACTTGCAGACGTATGGCCTGGGAATGAAAGTATTTTGTCAATTTCAAGAAATCCAACATAAAATGCCATACAGAAAAGAATACAAAACATAAGAAGATTCACAGTACATGCCCTGTCTGAGCAAATTCAAATGAGATAGCATGTACTGTGCATGTAGCTGTGGTATGAGATTGCATGCACGGGCATTTATTACAATGCCATGTCGAGGGAGTGCAGGTCGTACAGTGTGTGAATACGTGTAGGCCTATGGCCTTATGGGAGAATACAGTGTTGTGTTGTTGCTGTGTCATGGGTCATGTGCACATACTGTATTGTATGATTGTGAGAGAGGAAGAGAGACCGACTATTATGAGGCATGGTGTTAGTATACTAAAAATGGAATTCAAACTACCGGTACATACATTACATCATTCGAACAAATAGTCAAATATCATGAATATCAGACTTGATTGTCAGTCATTACATGAATGCAGGCACTAAACTATACAGGCTTACAAGTTCAAAATAGAAATACATGTACCAATACCATCCTATAAATGAAATAGAAGTGGAAAGCTATTTCAAATCAAATTTAATTCAATACAAGAAATATATCATACATGCAATCGAAAGAATTTAAAACTGCAAAAGAGGTAACACCTTTGTTCTTCATAACATAATGAAAGATATTAGATAAGAATCCAAAGTTTATTCAGATTTCCATTATTCATTGTAAATACTTTATGAGAATATAATATTCTTTTATGGTCTGCATCACTTAATCAAGAAAAACAGCACAATAAAACACTGGTGATATTTCATATAATATAAATGATAGCGGTTGTTATTTTTAATCTTTTTTTACTGATCCTGCTCTTTCTCTTCATCTCTTCTTTCCTTCTTTCCCTTCTATGTTTTTCACCTGTTTTTCTTCATTCTTTTCTTATTATTCTCTTCTTCACGGTATCTTCGTCTCATATTTTTTCTTCTCTTTTCAAATCTGGTTAATGAATAACTACCACCATCCACCAGCATGTTATCTAATAACTGAGGTTTTGTTTTCTTCAACCTTCTGCTTACACTTGTCAAATATTGTTGAACATTGTCAATCATATTCAAATAACCTGCATGAAGATAAAAAATAATTGCAAAAGTACACAGCCTAGTCATGATGAAACTGCACGCATATGAAAAACCGATCAAATTATACGAGCATCCGTCTTTGGTTCAGGAAAAATGAACTTTTCTCTTCATGCATAGACAGGCGTAATAACTTTGCAAAATGGTTTTGAAAAAAACAACAGGAACCGTGTATTAGCAGTGCATCAAATAGGGTTTTCGGCTGAACTAGCATGTACCACATCGTACCTCCTTGTTTCCCGTCGGGTGTTGGGCCGGTAGGCGGGCTGTCACCGTCTTCTTCCTGTCTCCTTCCGGCTTCCCTCTAGCTCTCCTTTCTTTTATCTTTGAAAAACCTTCACTTCAAGTGTCATTCAGACAGCTTTTCAGCTGTTTTGTCTCCACAAAATCGAGGATCCTGAAAGCGCATCTAATAGCATGTCCAGGGATTGGTGGCCTTCATCTGTAATGATGTAGATTTTATGACAGTGTCTATTATCTTTTAAAAGATAATCATAATAATAATGATAGAAATAATGATAATAATCATAATACCAATACTAAGAACGATGATGATAACAATGATGAAAAGGATAATACTACCACCACTACAAATAATAAGGATGATGATAATGATATTAATAAAGATAAAGATAAAGATAATATATGATAATATTGATAATGAAAATACCAATAATAGATATTTAACAAGAATAAAAATGACCCTTGTAAAATTGGAGTGCATATATATATTATTTGTTTTGGAGTATAAATTCCACATCTTTCAAAGAATGATATTAATTGGATTTATACAGCTTTTACAACACCTATTCCAATTACTGTTTCCATTATTGTTTGGACATATTTTGCAAGATTAAAATCAAGAAAAAAATGAGGTGTACAAAATTGACAACTGGTATAAGATAAGTTAAAATCTTATCAAAATGATCTATGCACAAACTTGGAGTGCATGTTTATTTGGGAGTATAAATGTGACACCTATTCAACAAGTTAAAATATGTTATGCCCCTTGTAGTATACCTAGGCTTTATACGGTTTCGCAATAAGCCAAGTAAATTAGGCTATCTTTGTGTCCACAGGTGTTGGTAACTTTGTAGCCCCTATTTTGTAATACCATATTTATAAGGGGTTTCCCATTACATTTCAATATTATGAAGAAAAGGAAATGAAAATAATAATAACCAACGGGTACAAGGTAGTGCCACCACCATTGTAATGCCGAATCTATACATGAAGTCTTTTATTCCAAGACAAATTCTAAACTCTAAATTTCAAACAAAGCGATTCAATAATATTTAATGTCTTTACTTCCACGTGTGGGTATATTTCGAAATCTCGTTCTGTGATGTCACAATCATGTGATCCGCTCTGCTGCATTCTTTGCATTCCATTCTATTGTGACGTTTTATGCAATTCAAAAGCAACGTTGCGCAAGATAAGCAAACACAAACAAAAAGCATTGTGTCGAAATCGATATTAGGTTTCAAAGAAGTCCCGTTTGCAGGGATTAGGAATCAACCCGTAAAATCAAGACAATTTTATTGCCTGTACTATTATGAACGAAGGACTTTTAAAATAATGAGCCTTGTAAGTTTAGTCTTTAGTATACATCGCCTATACATCTTTCACTGCAACACAGCTTTAATTAAATAAGAAAGCCTTCTACTAACAGAACTTCATAATGCAAATCTAACTAAGCATAATATACGAGCTGAGGATTTTCAATTCTGTATCGATGACTCTGAGTTTGCTATCTGATTTCCTAGATTCCCAGCGGACTTGATCCCCGACTAGATTCTACTTATCAATCTTCTTTTTGGGGTCACACGAGATTGTCCGTGACATTTTAGCTGCTGATTATCTGAATCTCAAAAGATGCCGAGATCTTTGACGATGAAGCACAAATCCCGAGTTCGACAGAATGATTCTCAATTGGAAGGTCAAAAGTGTAAACTTTCATGATTATTATTATAGAGTGATCATCTTTATAAGTCAACAAAATCACGTGCCAAATGATCACATTAACATGATTAATTTGTAAATACGGAATTGAAATTGTCGCTGTGATAATATTCCCTGCATAGTCCAAGTAAATAACGTTTTGAAAAAAAATGCTTTTTACAATTCAGAAGCAAAACTGAATGCATGCATATCTGGAAAATCCTTTAACGAGCAAAAATAAATAAATTGTAACGAATTTCGACTCGACTCGAGGGGCACACGGACAGGAAATTTTAGCCGAGGAAAGGTGTCAACCCCCCCCCCCCCCCCCCCCCCAATCCACCACCACCACCACTCCATAACCCCATCCATCCCGCAGTAGCAATACAAGTATGGCGTATCAGCCCTTTCAAATAAAAAGGTGTGTTCGCGTTTTCACTAAAATGGAGTTTTGCAAAATAACAGTTTAATTCCTGCTCTTGCAATTTGGGCATCAATTTGAGGAACAGTTTGGCGCATATTGTAACTAGTATTAGATGGAAACTGTCCAACCCTTCTTTTAAGGCATACCCTTTATATATTAAATGCATAATCAATTCCTATAAGATGCCCTCGGATCAAGCCCTAAACTCCTCCACATGCATGCCGAACAAAGATTATAAGCTATAGAGCTGGCTTGATCAATACTGGAACATTAGAAGCTGTCTGGCTGCCGGGGAACCCCAGTCCAGTACGGTGATGAAGCATGGAAAAATTTGAGGGTGTTTTCCCTTGATTGATGAGTCATCCCTCCCAGTAGTTCCCGGTAGAACTATCACGCTGCAGCCTGACCTGATATACCGTGAGTTTAGTCTGTGCAGGTGGATTCTGCAGACGCAATGAATGGTGTCATCGAAGATATTTAAAATATTTTTTACATCATTTATTTTTCCTCACCCTGTTTTGTGCTTCTGTTTTAAACTTGGAAAACGTCCAGTTTGGGTAAATAGAATATCCATATTAACTATCGTGTTATAGCTCTCTCTTGAAGATCTTCAGTTAAATGAATTTGCTTGAAGTTGAAACCGAACTCCTTAATTCCTTTCATGATAATTTCAAAGACAGTTTTATGACGCCCATTTAAATAATGCTTGCAAATCTAATTATAGAATGATTTAAGATAACAAATCATGATGTTATACTGCAAAGAAGATTTCCTTTTCAAAACAGAGGAGGCGGAAAATTGCACTTGTCATAAGCTATGCACTCGACTCGTTTATTCTAATGCGCCAAACAACCCCGCACCTACATTGCCCCAAAGCTAATTCCTTTCATTTCGGTTTCGCTTGAATTTATTATGAGTACTTCCCACTAATAATTATTTATTACAATCGAGTATTTCATCTGATCGAGCTGCGGTACTTTCGTTTTGCATTCATACCGCCTCGCGCGCGCGCTGCACAATTATATACTCTTTGACACGCT